CCCTCTTTCCTACTCTTACATTCCCTGCCATTCTTCCTCTGCCTTTCCCTTTCTCCTATTCCTCTCCTTTCTCCTCTACATGGACTTTTAAAGGTAAAGGTTCCCCTCTCACCTATATGCAAGTCGTTCCCGACTCTAGGGGATGGTGATCATCTCCCTTTCAAAACCAAAGAGCCAGCGCTGTCCGAAGATGTCTCTGTGGTCATGTGGCCAGCATTACTCAATGCTGAAAGCGCATGGAACACTCTTCCCTTCCCACCAAAGGTGGCTCCTGTTTTTCCACTTGCATTTTTTACGAGCTTTCGAACTGCTAGGCTTGCAGAAGCTGGGACGAGTCACGGGAGCTCACTCCGTTACGCGGCTCTGGGGATACGAACCGCTGAACTGCCGACTTTTCTAATCGACAAGCGCAGCATCTCAGCCCCTGAGCCACCGCGTCCCTTTATGGACTTATAGTAGTTCGAATGTTAACTACCCATCCATTCAAGGACAGGGTATTCTATGTTGAAAAGAACCAGGCATTGGGCTGGTACCGGTGAGCTCTTGGTGAACACTCGGTCACAGTGTGGGGGATATTTTATCAAGGAGCACCACAATCACACTGAGGGGGTAGAGGCAAGACCCCACTTAAACAAGGAGTCCAGGCAGGCACCATGTTGGGTGGGGATCAGAGTTGACCATTGCTGGCAAAGAAGGTCAAAACCTGTCACCGTTTGTGTAGGGCAGTGTTTCTCAACTTTGGCAACTTGAAGATGTCTGGACTTCAACTCCCAGAATTCCCCAGCCAGCATTCGGTCACGTCACTTTTTCCATGCTGCCGTAACATTGAACAGTGTCTAGGGCAGTGTTTCTCAACCTTGGCAACTTGAAGATGTCCGGACTTCAACTCCCAGAATTCCCCAGTCAGCATTCGCTGGCTGGGGAATTCTGGGACTTGAAGTCCAGACATCTTCAAGTTGCCAAGGTTGAGAAACACTGGTGTAGGGTCATCTCCATAACTGCCTCCACCTGGGCCTTCAGCAGCCCATTTGGTTTTCCACCATGGGTTGACATTGTCGAGCGAGGGCCAGGGGGGCTTCCTGGGGTTTGAGCCTGGCACCGAGGGGGATCCGTGTGCGCAGGGAGGGAGAAGTGGCTTTCTCATGGTTTCGTTGTCCTCCTTCCCTGAGGCTTCCCGCCTCCATAGAGCTGGTGGCGCAATGTCAGTCCAGACGGGGAGTAGATTTGATGCAACCGCTTATGATCCCCCATTGTATGAGGATGAGGAAGGAGGCGCTCCAGGCAGGTGGCATCGGAGGATTTCCTCCCATTTTTCCATGTAATTCCTGAATTTTGGACAAACCAGTTTAATCCGGAGATGCATTGAACTATCTGTAAATCTTCCAGGACGTTACATGCAGTGGTCAAGCTACAGCAAGTTAATTTAGTGCAGTGTTTCTCAACCTTGGCAAATTGAAGATGTCTGGACTTCAACTCCCAGAATTCCCCAGCCAGCGAATGCTGGCTGGGGAATTCTGGGAGTTG